AAAGGTCTGACACACACACACACACACACACACACTAGAGAAACGCGCCGTGGAGCCCAGGCAACGCACAACACAGCAGAGCAGCCCGGGGGTTGTTTGCGTTTCAAGGGCTCAAAGAGACCCTTCTACCCGAGCAGCATCGGGTCCAGCGCCAGGCCCAGGGCCACGGCCGGGCTGCCCTTCGCCCAGAGAAGCCCGCGGCCCTCCCGCCATAAGTGGTACGAAGCCCCCTGGCCCCCGCCCCATTGGGAGGAAGAGGAGGCGCCCCAGGGAGCAGGCCGCAGCCCATAGCAACCACCTGCCGACACCTCCCCGCTCACTTTCCTCCGCGCGGGGCCAGGCCTAGCTTCCCCCGGGCGGCCGCTGCGGCCTCCATCCCCGACCTGGCCTAGAGCCCTCGCCCCGCCCCGCCCTGCTCCCGGGACTGCCAGTCCCACCGCGGGCACGCGCAGCCCAGCTGGGGGACAAGACCTGAGCCGTCGGCCCTCACCGCGAGACGGCGCCCGGCTCTACGTCCCTCCGCGCTGACCGAGACCCGGCAGCAGCTGCAGCTAGGGCCTGACTGCGGCGACGCCTTTTATACCGCGGGGCGGGGCGGGACTCCGGGAGGTGGAAGACGAAGGACCCCCCTCCCCCCCACTGCCTCACAGACCAACTGTAGGTGTCCGCGCAGATCGCCTGACTGATCGTGAGGAAATGTAAAATGCAGCCTGCCCGCGGGACACAAACGCCCTCCTCACTTCCACCTTAGATACAGCGGAGCGAAGGGGAAGGGATTTCATGCATGTAAACGGATTGGGGGAGTTAAGTAACAGCTATGGCGTCTTTCAGGCAGAGGGTGCCCCTGTCAGAAAAGCTGCCTCACATGGCAACGGCAACAGCCTCATAGTGGATGGAGGGGGCTTACCCCAGCACGTGTTTGTTGCATGCCCCTTGTCAATGCTGTGCACAGCCTTCAGTGCTAGGCCCCCTGTTGCCCTGTTCCCAGGGCCCAGCCTTTAGCCAGCAGCTTCTCATCCCCCCTCTGCCTTCCTCCCGCTGCGCACCAGGAGGGAGTAGTGCATGCGGGCAGGGGACTAGACTCGATGACCTCTCGAGGTCCCTTCCAGTCCTAGAATCTATGAACATCCTCCAGGACTAGGCACTCATGGGTTCTGTTCCCAGTTCTGGCACCAACTCCCTGCATGGCTTTGATCTATCTCATTCCCCCTTAGCAAAATGGGAGGGATGATATTTCCATGGCAGTAGAGCGCCCTCCATACCCTCCAAGGGGAGGGGGCCCCTAAAAGTGGCAAAATAAATACTGCATTCCAGTTTCTGCATTGTAAGGGGCCCTGCCCGGACATATGTTCGGAGGGGGCCACGTTCTTTGTTGCTACGGCCCTGCATGGCAGGATTCATTAATCCCTGTCAGGCAGGGGCCACATCTTCCTATGAGTTTGTAGCATGATCCTGATCAGATCCTTGAGCTTCAACTACTATACAAAATCATACTAATACATTTTGAAAACTGCATTGGAGGAGTATCATAACAAATCTCAGGGCAGTTTGGACATGGTGGATGTTACTGAGCTAAACACCTCAGCCACTCTGTCCTTCATCGGAACAAAATTCAGCCTCCTGCTCCAAAAAACAAAGACCCCTAACACTTGCACTAAAGGGAAATCTCCACCAGCTCTGTCAAGTGCACCTCATTTTCAGAGATTTAATCCTAAAGTTTCCTACCTTCTACACAAATTGGTGTCCCCTCATTTTTATTGAGAGAGGAAAATTAATATTTAAACAGGTTATAGCAAAGTTATTTTCACTACAAAAGAATGAAACCTACAACATTTTAAGATTCCTGTATGAATCATTTTTGTGTCCTTCATTTTGATTCTCTGACGCACACATTTGTGCCTCTGCAGGTGCATGATTTTCATTAACTGTAAACTGTGTGGCATTGGCCCTATACTGTTGAGAGGTTCTGATTCTGTCCTGTGGAGGGCGGGGTTACTCAAAGGATTATGATTGCATAACTACATATATTTTACTCTATATTTTACTCAGAAGGCGGAGTCAACTCTGCGAAGATTCATACCTCTGCTTTCAAGGTATTGTACTTACCTGCACGCACTGGGAGTGTAAAACAATGAAACTCGCAGTTGTCAATTCCTCTGAGTGAGCTAGGGTTACAATCATTGTCTGATGAAGGGAGCGTGACAGAAACTAGGCTATTAAAAAAATTAACATTGAGGGCTGCGGATAAATTTGCTAAGCAGCAATTTAATCTAAAAGCTGCATGTCAGCTAAAATCCTCTTACATTAATGTGTTAATGCTGTCAATCGTTACATTAAACCCCATCTCCACTAAGGGAAATGCCATGTCTCTACTGCAGCACTTGATTTCTGAAGAAAGGTTGGCTCAGTGCCATCTCTTGCAAACAAATGGCCTAGAGCCCTCAGGCACCGTTCACAACATTAGTACTAGAATAAAACGCTATTCAGAGTAACCCTGATTCAGTTTAAGGGCCTATTTGTATGGCTCCTGTCATCCTCTCAAAGCTTCAGTGTGAGGTAAAATTTCAAAATAAGAGATCTAAGAAAAATAATGGTAAGAGAAGCTTAAAATAATGGATTCATTCTGTATTACTTCCGTTTCTTGAGTCACCCTTTCAGATGTAAACAATAAAACCTTGCCTTATGCAACCACTCAGCAGAGTAGCAAAAATTTGGTCTTTAAACAAAATAGGATTGGAGATCTTGAGGATAATTTTTATTTGTTGCTTAAGACAATGGTTTGCCAATCTAAACTGGAAATTTATAACCATATAGCTGGATAGCAGTTTCACACAAGTTTATGTGGCACATAATCATCATTAATGATGATTAATCATTTAAACCCCATGTCTCCATTGAGTCCAGGCAGGTGGATAGAACCCTGCCTCTGAGTGGAGTCTTACTGATGCCTATGAAGGGGAGTCTGCCAGCATGGAGCTCATAGCAATAATTGGCCCTTGGGCCCAGAACCTCAAAGTACTTAGGCATTGCTCTGCTCCGCGTTGCAACGCCTAACCCCTACGGCAGTCTGCAGCCTAGCGGAACCCTCAACCCTAAGCTAGGTGCCCAGACTCCATATACAATGCAGGAAATAAGTTAGGCACCTAAGCAAGGGATCCTCAGAAGCCAGAAAGCTGCGTAAGCAGCTGACCCGGTGCTCTCATGCTCACCCTATATTTCCCTTTACCATCAGCTTTTTTGCAGATGTTATGTGTGACAGGGCTCCGGGGGTGCCACCTGGACTGTGGGACCACTGAGCCCTCTGTTCCACCAACCTAGGGCATCCTTCTCACACTGTGAGGCTGTTAAGCCACAAACCTCTGGCAGGTACTGCACTTACACAGACATCCACAGGCAGGGACACACACAACTGAGTTACATGGATGCTTTGCCAGCCACTCATGAAACAACAATAGAGAGGCTCCAACCAGTCCCCCGCACACTCCTTCAGCTCCCCAGCCTTGCTCCTTGGAACTGTACCATCTTGCCCTGTTCAGAAGCCTGACCAGTGTAAATTCATTTCCAAGTCCGATCCTCCCCTGATGTGGAGAGGACACACATTAGCCTTTGTAACCTGAGCTGAGATTTCCTAAGCACTTCAACCAAAACATACTGTTTTAGGTAAAATATAGAACAGATGTATTAACTACAGAAAGATAGATTTTAAGTGATTATAAGTAGCAAGCATAGAGATCAAAGTTGGTTACTTAAGAAACAAAAATAAATTCACAGTCTGAGTTCTACAAACTAAACGGGATTTGAATCAAGCAGTGTCTCATCCTGACAGATGGTACAATCCTCAATAAACATGCGGGACTCTTTTCCAGCCTGGGATCACGTTGACCAGTTCAAAGCCTTTGTCAGCCAGATGTTTCTTCCAGGTGTTGAGTTGGGGAGGGGGAAGAGAGATCAAGTGATGATGTCACTTCCCTTCTTTTATAGTTTCTTCCAGCTTGCTGGAAAGATATATGTGATATAGATACCCTTGTGACATGAGGGTCCGCCCCTATTGGTCAAGCAGTCTATCGTCTACGTCAGGGGTGGGCAAACTACGGCTCGCGGGCCGGATCTGGCCCATCAGAGCTTTGGATCCGGCCCGTGGGATTGCCAGCCCTGTGGCGCAGCAGGGCTAAGGCAGGCTCCCTGCCTGCCCTGGCCCCATGCCACTCCCAGAAGTGGCCGGCACCACGACCCTGCGGCTCCAGGGTGGCGGGAGAGGGGCAGAGGGCTCCATGAACTGCCCTCGCCTGCAGGCACTGCCCCCCACAGCTCCCATAAATTGGCCGGGAACAGGGAACCTCACAAAATGATACCTCACAAGGCATACTTTTTACAAAACATAATTATATGACAGTGGTGAATACGGGGGTTCCAGGGTGCTACTCTGAGGTCACACTGTACTGCCTCTAAACCTAGTAGTAGCCTGCATCCAGCCCTTCTGCTGGGGTCTGACAGGCATGAAGTCAGGATCAGGCCCCACTGGCAAGATAGCATTCCCTCACTTAGTATGAGAATCCTGCTTCACGGTCTCGAGGGCTTTGGCTTGAGTTAGGCCTCCAAGTGGCTCATTAGCTGTGGGGTGGCATCAGCACTTAGGCGACTCTGCAAACACCAACCAGCAGAAATATAGGTGCCTGCAGGGCTAGGCAACAGTTTTGAAAAGGTCACCATTTGAAAAGAGGCAGATAGGCACCTAAATACCTTTGAGAATATGGGCCTAATTCATCAATAGTGCCTGTCCATTTTAAAGAAAGAAAGTAAAGCCTTTAAACTGCAGTTAATGTATGTAACTTGGTGGTCCTATTACTGTCACCCTTTTCTTCCTCCCCAACCACCTCCACTGTGTTCTTCAATTCTCTGTTGGTCTTGTCCCTTGACCACTAGTCCCTTCAAAGTAAGCTCTTTAAACTAGCTTTTATTTGCTGTTGATATAGCATTCAGTACAATGAATTCCTGATCCTGATTGTGGCCTCCGGGTGATACATAATTATTGTTAATTATTATACCTGTCCTGTGCACTTTATCTTGTCTTTGTATTATTAGAATTGTTCATCTGCTTTGCTTAGCCCAAATACAAATACAGTAGACCGAAGCTGAGAAAATCCTGTCACACTCCAAGACGTAAAAGTCACTAATTGCCTTTAAGAGCCTTGTTTTCCCAGAACTAGCAGAACCAGTCCCGTCTAGCAGGATGGTGTCACCATAGAGAGAACACAGACTTCCTGGGGACTCAGACAATAGCATAAACATATCTAACAGGACAGATGGGAGAAAATATTAACGATAAAGATGCCTGTGGAGTCAGTGGATGGGAAAAGAAACCACATATACTTAACTTTGTCCTGCTGTTATTTGTTTGTATTTTGTTGTTGAACTACTCCCCAGTAAGCAAGTAGAGGTGGGAGGATGTCATGAAATACTGTAAATAAGTGAAATGTCTGTCCAAATGTTATACCAAGGGGATGAATCTTTCATTGTATATTTCCCAGTCTTCAAAAAAGAATTAGCACAAAATTTTCTGAAGCTGTCTGCAACCAGCCACTTCCACCAGGGAAAAGTGTTTCCATGGTCAGATTATTGAAGCATACACAACATAGGCCCAGGC